TATAGTGTTTTAATTTTTGCTGGAGAAAAACGTGAAAGGCTCTCATCTTCCTTCCCATGACCGTGAGCTTCATTAGGTAAGAGGAAAAATTTTAGTTTTTATTTTTCGAGCTATTTTCTTGAGAATTAGACTTCGGTGTAGTTAGGAAAAATGTTCTACGTTCAATTTGCTACGTTATGACATGAATATCACTAGGGTTTATGTTCAAGTTCATCTTGAGTTGATGAAGCGGATGTTGATTTCTTGTGTTTTAGCGGTTATGAAGAGTTCAGTGATTTTAAAGAATTGGTTGTAAGAATTGATGAAGAACTTAAGGATGAAGTTAATGAAAACAATTTAGATTTTGAATCTGACAGTGAGTTTGAAAATTCACCAGAAATTCTATAAAAATTATTTGGAGGTTATTTTTATATATTTATGTTCAATCTAGTTTTGTTTAAAATAAACAGGGATCAATTTCAAGGTGTATAAAAATATATGAATTTTTAACTGAGGAAAGGTCAGAAAAACGGGAAGCAGATTCTGCACAAAACAGATTTTGTCGGTCAACTTTGAAAATTCACCATAAATTGTACATAATGAATTAGAAGAAGTTATTTATATGGATAGATTCGTATTCGAGTCTATTTTTCAACGGAAGAAACGGAACTGAATTCCAGTGTGTATATCAGTACAGAATACTAATTTTTTAAAGGTATTGCAAGTTGTCTGAATATGGAAATTTTAAAATTTAAGTTGAAATGGATTAGAAGATGAAGAGTATTTTTTTTAAATGTAAAAGTACCATTTGGGTGAGTTAGAATAATTATGGAAATTCTGGAAAGTGTGCTGATTGGAGTTTAAATATCAAGTTGGGATTGAATTTCAAGTTTATCAAGTTGTAAGGTTGAAATTGAAAAAGTCTAAGAAAGTAGGATGAAATTGTAAGCTTTTGAGTGTTGAAGTATTGATTTGAACTTTTATTTTAGTTGCTGGAAATTTTATATATTTAATGGGAATGATCATAATAGTGAAAAGCTATAATGAAATTAAAGGAAAGTTGAGTTAATTCTAGAAAGGAATTTAAAATATGTGGTTTGATTTTATAATTGGTAAAAGTTGAAGATCATGTTGGGAATAATTATTTGTGGAATTGAATAAATGTTTCGAGAAGTTTGAAATTATAATGGAGTTATGAGTTAGGTTGATATCGATTTTATTTTATAGATTTTCAAATGTCAAAATGAGCTTATGTTAGAACGATACTAATATGTAGTTTAAACATTTTATGTTATAATTTGGTATCGTCAGATTACAATAAAACTAGCAATCCAAATGATTTGAAAGGAAACGACTAAGCTTGTGACTAGTATTATCGTATAAAAGTTCTGTAGTGAGACAAAGGTGAGTGCAATTTATTTATTTAATTATTTTAATCGAGGATGAGTTGCGATAAGTCAACCTCACATTATTTATTTCAAATATATGAATTATGTTTTGATTATGGAATTATATTTGTAATGTTTTTAATAAGTTTTATGAATGATTTTGGGTATGAACTACCCATGTCACATTTTACGAATGTGAATTAAATATATTTCCGATTCTGATATGATTTTTATCAAATAATTACGAAATGAACTGAAAGCCCATTGTATGTTATATTGAGAGTCAAAGGTATAATTGACATGCCATGAGGTGGAGTGATTGTCTGTTCTAATACTGATATATTGTGGTGTACCGGAGTGTACACTAGTATATATATTCTGATCTGAACGCACTTTATGTGCATATTGTTATTTCCGATGTGATAACACTGTGTATACTTATCTGTTCCGACTCTGATGATCTGAGATCTGTATTGCGCACACTCGTCTGACTCACGTACCTTATATTCTCTTAAAATATACTTTGGGCTATAAAAATGAAATACGAAAGTTCTGAAAAGTGTCTGATTACAAAGGAATATGAACTGATTATTCTGTCTGATCTGATTTATTATGATTTTGTGAAAATCATCAGATGATTCTTTTCAGGTTTCTGATAAAGTTCAGCATGAGATATCCAGTTTGAAATTTTGAAAGTTTGTTTATTTTATTTTAAATATATATATATATATTGATACTTTATTTATTTGTTCTCACCTTTCGTATAACTGCCTCACTAATTTATACTTTGCGCTTGATGATCTTCATGCGTAGGGTCTGATTAAGATACATACGTTTTATGAGGAGCCTTCCAAGCATCATGTGGAGATCATCTATAACATCAGTATAGTAAGACATCATTGAAGTTTCTTTTGACTAGTAGTGGCATATATCATTATGTCAGTAGTTTTTATTTATCATATTTATTTTAAATAATTTGTAATAGTAAACTAGAACTATTTTAGTTTATTTTACTTAGTTTAGTTTTATCAATATCTATGCATGAAAAGAATATATTACGTTATTATGTTTTTAAAATATTTTACGAAAAGACATGGTTTAGTAAAATTACTAATTAACAAATGAATTTATTTTCCCTATGACAAAGAAATAAATTTTAGTTGAGATATACTTAAAAATACATTTTTTTTAAAGATAGAATATGAGTGTTTTCAAATGAAACAAATTTTTAGCCAAATTTCAGTTCAGTAAATGTTTTTAAGTTGATGTGACATCTTTGACTCGTATATTGAGATGTATACGGGTTAAGGGTGTAACATGCGGTTTTATGGGGTCATGCATTGCAAAATGCTCCATGAGGTTGTGCACATTCACCAACATCTAGTTAACTCTAAATGTCTCACTATCATCATCTAGTTGCAATGCATGACATAAACTATGATGCCATGAGGAATCTTGAGATTTCAAATATGCCAGATATTTGTGCAGCACAATGGGGTACCACTAACGACAGATCAATTGAGTTGGTAATTGGGTCCCAGTTTGAAACAAAAAAGGATTCCCTCAAGGAGTTATGTATCAAAGCTCATATTGTCACTCAATATGGTGACAAAAACATTTTCCCCATTGCCTTTTCCATTGTTAAAATGAGTCAGAGGAAATGTGGAATTTCTTTCTCTCCAACTTGTGTTCCCTTGTTGTCACTCAAGATTGGATTTGCATGATATCATATTGTTCACATAGGTTGTTAGCCACGATTGATAGATCAGGAAGTAGGTGTCACCTCCCCATGCATATCCGACGTATTGCATACGTCATATTGCTTCCAATGCTATGACAAGTTTATTATTATTCTTAAATCCAACTTTTTTCACGATATGTTTTACTACAACTGAACATCCGTGCCAGGCTGGAAAATCTGAGGAAATATGAAGAAGATGTTTATAACTTTGTAGCTGAAATACCTCGGGAAAGATGGTCACAACATATAATAATCAAGGTCGACGTTACGATCCTATGACAACCAATCTTACCGAATGTATCAATTTAGTGCTTAAATGGACTATACTTCTTCTGGTAGCAAGTATTGTTCGAGAGATTTACTTCAGATTGGGTAAAATTTGGGCAAACAAAGGTGCACAAGTAGAGGCAATGATCAACGATGACAGAAATTGAGCTCCAAATCTAGAGAAGGAAATGAACAAAAATCAAACACATGCAACATCAATGTTCATAATTTTTCCATACTTGATTATCCAAGCACTTGTTCGACCACATAAAGGTGGGAATTCTACCACCTACATTGGTAATCTCAATAGAAGATGGTGTGATTGTGGTCGATTTCAAGCTTTTAGATACCCATGCGATCATGTTGTTGTTGTTGTTGCATGTATGCATGTTAATGTAGACCCATACTCATACTTTGATGATTGTTATACAATTGTGAGTTTAAATATCTCCCAAATAATGCTTATTGGCCACCCAACAATTTCTGAAGAATGGTTGCCAAGTAGTCGAATTCATACTGATATGTATGATCCTCAAAGAGAGCAAGGTCTGCCAAAGCTTTGTGGCAACTGTAGAGGTGAAGGACACAACAGGAAGTACTGTCCACATCTTCTAAAATATCGATCGGGCCGATAAAACCTTTCGTAATTCTATTCCCATGTTGTCTGATGTACCTATTTTGGATAATTTATGAATGTCAATAACCATATTAATTTTTAACTTTTCATATATAATTTCAAACTATTCATAAATAACTTTTAAATAAGCGCAAATTCATACATATATTTAAAATAATTTTTTCAACAAAATAGACAACTTTTTCTCTTTTTCTTCCTCTCAATTTCTATAATACTATTTTTCTTTTTACTTTTTTCATTCCTCTCTATGAGTTGTTTGTTGCATCGGATTAATAAGTATTCATTCTTATTCTACTTCTTCTTCTCCATTTTCATCTCTTTATGTTGATCAAGTATTGATTTTATTGCCTCTTTTACCTACTCATCATCTGAAGACGAGCTTGAATCCGAATCGTCAATGTCAGAGTAATCAAACCCAAAATGATCATTCGAAATTTTTTTGAAATATATTCTTCCCACAAATGCATGATTTTGATTCTCACGTAACTTTATCAACTCACCCCATTCCTATTTATAGCGAAAAGTTATCAAAATAACCGTTGGAACTCGTCATGCTCACATGACGAGTTCCAAAGGCTCTAAACGACTACTTATCAAACATTTATAAACGGCTATATATTTAAAACCAAAGGAATTCATCACCTCGACATGACGAGTTTCGTTGATTTTTTGGTATAAAATTTAAAATAAAAACACTACAATAAAAAATATTATTTTAATAGAACTCGTCATCTCGAGATGACGAGTTCCAACAAAAATAATTAAATATTCAAACTGACCAATCGATCAAAAAATAGTAATTTTTTATAAAATTCATCATCTCGAGATGACGAGTTCGATGTGTACTGTTGAAAATGCCGTAGACCCTAAAATAAAAACTTATATGCCCTATTGGGCTAAATATATCAGTCGTTTGCCGTATTGGGTCAAAAAACTCCTCCAATTATGAAAAATATACATATTCTGCTGTCTATTGAAACCCAATAGATCAAGTGAAATGAGAATGATGCTCTCATGTCTATTTCCTTCAATCCCTACCGCCCTTTTTGTCTTTTATACAAAATTAACACCACCAATAAAAGAGCAAAACATACAGTTCAAACGCATCCAAAAACTTCGGCAAATTCAAACCTTCATAAATGTTGCCTCCAACCAAACTAATGTCTCAGTTCACCCAACACATTTTGAAAAAGATGGCGAGACAACTTGGAGTTCAGTTTAACTAGGTTCATTACACATCGAGTATATTGACATGTTAATAGCCTTTGCTCCAGTTTGTTTCATGGTCCCTCGTAAGTGCCATTGGAGTACTCCTCACCTGCAACACCAGGTGTTCCATTTGATAACCGATTTGTGCTCGTAGAATTTGAAAATGATGAATGCGTGGAAACAGGGCTGCCTCGTGAATAATGGTTTTGTGCAGATGTGGTACTCCTAGTAACCTTGAGACGAGCCTTTCTACCCTACACCAAGAAAATACAAGGAATTTTATCCTTTGTAAGGTATGCTGTTCGACGTAATCAATTATAACAGTGGCAACTCAATCACAATCATAGTCTATCCTCATGGATGCAAAAAGAAAATTATACTGAATGTAAATAATACAAATGTACATGATAGGATGATTAGAGACAAAATCACCTTTCCCATGCATTTCTCCAAGTGAGGAGCAAACCTCCCTGCAGAAATGGATCTCCCACAGTTCATGCATTCAAATATTTCACTGGCAACAGAAGGGTGTGTTTGTCCAAATATATCCACCACATACTTGTTATTTGTTTCACCACTGTTACTAGGATCAGCTACCCTTGCTCGGGCTTGTGCCGATAACCTCATTTCTTCTTCCTCTTCCTCCAAATTATGATCAAGGCCCAACTTTGCTGTCCGATGACACTCGGATGCAACATCAACAATTATGGAATCCAAGAGACCCCCATAAAAGTGAGATGAAAGCTGCAAAGACAATCCATCCAAACAAGATAATTTGTTACAATTGAATCATCAGTAAAACATCCCTCAATCTTCTAAATGAACTCAGGTGAAAAACATATACAGACTCTTAATCTTGCTCATCTCATGTAGATAAAATCTTAGTTACCGACAACTTAAGTATTGTTCTTCAGTTTTTCATTTCAAAGAGGAAAAGAGTCAGCTGAGTGAACAGGGTTACCTGAGTATCATCTTCATTTTGTACAGACATGACTTGTAAAGCAGATAACCTAAGCTCTAAACAATAGTCCCCAATTCAAGCTTCAATTAGAGCAGGAAGAACCTACAAATTACACCGCAAGCTGATAAACATGAATTAGTGAGAAAAAAAATAAGCGATATCATTAAATAAAAAAAAAAACCCAAATGAATTAAATCAAACGCTACTTCTAACAATAAAGTAACATAAACACAAATGAAAATAAAATTGTAATCGTTAAATCGGCAACAACTATAATCAAACTTAATAAACAACCATCAGCAGTTATTTTGATCATAAATAGACAAATCCATCAAATCTAATCCCCAATTGCTCATCACAAGTTTAAACTCCTAACGATGGGTAAACGCGGATTGAATTCGAAAACATTCGAATATCATCTCCTGAGATTTACTAAATAATCACTTGATTTTTGGGCTCATAAAATTGATTTTGATTCAATCCACAAGGTCGAAATCACGTTATCCACAGACAAAATAACTTCCGCTAGATTATTTAAAAAACACAAGAAACAAAAGGAAAGATCAGTGCTTAAATTTGACAGAAGAATAGAGACAGCTTACATGTTGGAAACGGATTCTACTTGAGACAGAGCTTCGCTTCGGAGCCGACTCCTCTCTAAAAGGGTTAGAATCCAGCTCTCGACTTGAGTGATTCCACGTGGAGGAAACCAGTGTTCGGAATTCTACCTTCTGCAACCACAACCGTTGATCCCAAACTATAAACCTTATTTTAAATTGGTCCTTATACTTTCGAATATTTCAATTTCATCCCTAAACGCCGACCCTCATTCTAAATTGGTCCTTAAACTTTTAAACATTCTAATTTCATTCCTAAACCATGATCATCTTTCTAAATTGATCCCAAAACTATTGAATCATCAGACTTCATATTAAAATTCATCCAAACATGTAATTAATTTCAACCATAGTTTAACCTAATTTGTTTTAAATATATAATAATATAACTTGGTCTAATGATTAATCAACTAATAAAACTAAGGCAAAAAGGCACCTAAGACCCCCAAACTTTAAAAAAAACCAATATAGTCCTCATCCATTTTTTCGATCAGTGTGACCCTCCAACTCGAAGAAAGAAACCAATGTGGCTCTTTGATCAATGTTCTCCGTCACTGACCAACGTTCCGTTAGTTCCTGCTGTTATTAATTGGGTAAATTACAACATTCATCACTCAATTATTTTCTCCTATTCTATTTTGGTCACTAAACTCTAAAAGTTTTCACTTTCGAAAACCCTAGTGACTTCAGGGACTAAGACTATAGTTAACCCATTTTATTTAAACACAAAACATTACCTCTCTCTGTATTACCCGTGCGGTGCCCCCATCTCTTTTTCCTTCTTCTTTCGTTTCTTCACGCCACCGCTGCCCATCTCCCATTTCTCCCCATCGTCCAAGGTCATCAACGTCACATAAGTCGATCAAAACTAAATCCACAAATGCTTGCTTTGCTGATTTATTTAGGGTTTTATTATTAAGTGTTGTTGCATTGACCCTTGGTGTTCGGGAGAATGCGACACCGGACAAGGTTAAGGAAGCGCATAAGAAAGTAATGGTTGCGAACCATCTCGATGCAGGTGGTAGCCATTACCTTGCCTCGAAAATCAACGAAGGCTAAAGATGTGATGCTTGGGAAGACAAAGTGGATCTGCATTTTAAATCCTAACTGGCTTTTGATTAAACTGCGCTTTGAGTTTGAACAATCTGCAAGAATACCCTTTACATCCCCCTTCAAAACTATCGTCTTTTTGGACAATTTATACTTGCCAAGGCTTTTGCAGCTCTGTTATTTTTTGCCTGCCTAGCTGAATTTAGTTCGTATGGGAATTGTTGTTAAGAAATTCTTTGGTTAATCCTCATCAAGTGTTTACGATTTTTCAAAAAATAAAATAAAATAAAATTTATTATGAGTTGATGAATCAAGGCAAATGATATGTGCAAGGAATCGAAGAGACAAACAATCGAAGAGGCTTCCCTTGCTGGTTAGTGTAGCTTCTGTGGAAATGTCTGAATACCCACTTTTTTTTAGGGTAAATGAACAATGGAAACCCATTGATGGGTTGGTGGGATTTATTGATTTTTGCAGAGTTCAAAAAGAAGAATGATGAACAACAAGATGAACTTTCTATCAAAAGTTCAAACCCCATTTGATTCAAATTTTTTATTTAATTAATTTAATTAATATTATTTTAATCATATATTAATAATAAAATAATAATAAATGTCATATCATACATAAATAATAATAAAATAAGTTATGGTGATTAAAATATGAGTAATTCAAAAGTTGAATGATTAAATTGAAAATTTTTAAAGTTTAGTGATCAAAATAGAAGAGAAAATATAGTTAAATGATAAATAATGTAATTTACCCAATTTTTAACAGTATTAAACGGGTGAATTGGGCAAAGGGCAAATTGACATGCCACGTCAGCCAAAAGTAATGGTTTTGTTGGTTAACGACGGAAAACGTTGGTCAAAGGGTCACATTGAGTTTTTTTTAGAGTTGGAGGGTCACATTGATTGCAAAAAAGGATGAGGACCATATTGGTCTTTTCTTAAAGTTCAAGGGCCTTGAGTACCTTTTTGCCTAAAACTTCATTTACTAAATGTCTATTAGTATTAACCTTAATTATAACAATAAAAGAAAATGGTTAAAATAAAATTAAAGTTCGAAATTTAAAATGAAATGATCTCTTTAAAACTTGAACAAAAATGAGTTTCTATATATACACTTTCAGTTTTATACACGCCTATTTTTGTCTGGGATTTTATTTCAAAATTTAATTATTTCATTACTTTATATATAATATAATATTGAAGTATATTATATATTTTCAAACATATGTATATAATTTTTAAAAACATATATATAGTATATATTATATTTTAAAATTATATATATATATATATAGTTTTTGAAGAAATATATATAGTATATATTAGTGTGTGTAATGTATATATATATATAGACAGATAGTGTCACATGCTTTTAAAACAATTTATGTATTCAAAAAACAATAAATTTTATTTCTTTAAATAACTCGATTTATTAATAAAATATATATAACGTCCTTTAAATACTAATATATAAAATAGCGTTTATGTCCATCACATAGAAGTTTAAATTCATTTATAAATATAATATTACAAATCATTTTTCAGTTGTTCCTACCAGAGTATCATAACATAACTAAGTACATGACAACTAGTAATATCAAAATAACATCGAGAGATGTCATGCTGTTACTAATGAGGCAACCCTTGACAGATGATATCAGATGCGCTCCTCACTTCGATCACACTTTCTTACCTACACGTGAAACAATCACACGTTAAGTATTCACTTAGTAAGGCATATTAAAAATCAGGTGATATGGTCCCGATTATGTGACCCGAGTCATATATATGTTTGTCCGATTGTGATTCTAGTAAGAAACTTCGAAGTGCTTGTGAATGACTTTTGAAACTGCACAATCAATATAATGAGTAGAAAATAAATATATAGATAATAAAAATGAAAGGGTAAAGGATATGTTGAAGTGGTAAATAGATGATGTAAATGTGATGGTTGTAGAGGTTGAATGGATGTAATGAAATTGGTGATGGATGGATGTATTTAGCGTGGCCAACGATGGAATTCAAAGGATGGATTGTGACCCTCTAACTATAAATGAGTTAAGAATCATCAATATAACAAAGTGGAAAAGGTACAAGTGGTGGGGGATGGAAACGAGACCCACTAGCTATAAGGGAGCTAGGAACCAATGTTATAAACAAGTGGAATATATGAAGACTACAAGACAAGTCTTGAAGTCGATAAATTTCTACAAAGAACAAGAATGAAAGAAAAACTCTCAAAGGTTTCTATATACATAAAAGTTCTGTTTACAATGCAATGGACGTGCCTATTTATAGTGTTGATAGGCACCATATGAAAGGTTACAAAAAAATAATAATGAATGTTCATCTTAAAGGACTTGAATGAGCTTAAATGACTTGTCCTTTCTTATCTACAAGATTAGCTAAATATTCTAGACTATTTGGTGATGAATCTAGACATTTTAAAGATGAATTTAACCTCATTTCTGTCCAAAGGGATGAAGGACTCTTGGGTTGCCTTGCTTTGCTTGCAAATGAAAGAAAAACTGATAAATGATGACATAGGATGAATGTAGACATTCTACATGTCCAAATTAGCTTGTCTCTTCAAATTCCTTGCTGATTTTATCACTTATTTTAGTGATTAAATGACATAATATCATCTTTCATTGCTTGTAACCTTGTAGAATATGATCAGCCTTCAAAAGATGATAAATAAAGGCTTTGAATGCAAAGATGAATGTTGGTTATTGCATGTCCCCTTGCTTGAACGTGAATGACCTTCAATGGTTGATAATTTCAGCCTTGAATAGGTGAATTATGAAGCTTGAATTCATTGTTACTCTAAGAAGATGAACAACCCTTGGATTTAGATAAGAATTCAACCTTGAATTACCTTGAGATTACATGCATAAATATGACCTTCAATAACTTGTCTCCATGCTGAAGTTGAAAGGTCTCTCTCTTGGCTTGAATCAATCCACATGTCTAATGTACCTAGACATAAACATAGACTTTATTCAAACTTTAAATGAAATATGCATGAAAACAATTAAAGAGTTGGTTGGATTAATTAACTAGTTTAATTTATTAACTAACTTTATTGAATGAACTAAGATGCATGAATGAAGTAGCTTACTAAATGAACTACTTCTCTAAATGAACTATAATCTTAAATGAGATGCATGCTTTAACAATCAACACACTTATTAAATGCAATAAGATTTATGCATTATTAAGTACTCATGCAAACTCATGCACAAGTAAAATAAAGTGTTCATCCCTTATTATTGGCATTTCATCCTCACGCCCCAAGCTAGATGAAAACAAGCTTTTCATGGCTGTTTAAAAATTCTTGAATCTTGCACGTGTAATGGGGCCACTAGGAAACTCCTCCAGGTCCTTGCTATTGGTGGTCATGTCAGTCTCTCCCTCTTTGAAGCGATTTGTCCCCAAATTGTCATGTTGGATTGGAAACCTTTCTTTTCTCATGTGCATCCATACTCAATCTCCCAGATCAAAGGTAACTCACTTATAAGCCTTGTTCTCTTGCTGCTCATATTGTTTTTTTTTCTTCTCAATATTCTCCCGCACTTGTTAATGAAGCTTTTTAACATACTCAGCCTTATTGTGCCTATCCTTGTTCATTAATTGTTGAGCGGGTAATGGTAGTAGACCCAACAAAGTTAATGATTGAATCTATACACTAATTCAAAGGGTGTATGTCCCTTGGTTGAAATACCCCAAAATTTTGGTTAGTGACCAAAATGTAAATTTTGAAAGTTTGATGGCCAAAGTAGAAAATTGGGAAAGGTTTAAGGACCTAAGTGGTAATTTTCTCAAAAAAATTATTCCATAAATGGATAGCTTAATATTGAAAGTTGGGTTTTATGAAAATCAAATTCTTGATCTAGAAATTGTGTTAAAATTGGAAAGTGTTAAAGTCTGGTAAAAATCTAGTAAATCATATCGAATAGAAATTTCAGGAAAATTTGAAGGATAATAAGTTAAGCTTA